GGAGAAAGAGAGTGAGGAGGGAGTGTGGGAAAGAGAGGCTTTGTAATGACTTCCATGTGAGGACAGCCTGGGACCCTTTTCTCCAACCTCATCTCCTTCCATCCTTTCTTTCACTTTATGGTTGGAACACATCATACTTCCCCAACTTGTACACTATTTCAAACCTCTGGGGTCTTACTTGGACTGCTCTGTGTCCAAGTAGAGTTCTTTATTCCTCCTTTTGGTACGGATTCGAACCCCTCTGACTTTCCAGTTTACTTCTTCAAGGGAAAAAAAAAGAGAGAAGAGCCGTGAGTGGTTTGGCTGAGTGTATAGAGCATCTGCCTGCAGACTGAAGGGTCCCAGGTTCGGTGAGAGAGAGAAAGAGAGAGAGAGAGAAAGAGAGCGAGAGAGAGAGAGGAGGGAGAGAGGAGAGGCAACAGGATGGCATCATGCTGCTCCAATCTTTGTTTGTTTTAATGCTCACCTGAGGCTATGTTTAGAGAGAGGGAGAGAGAGAAACATCTATGTGATGGGAAAGATGGTTGCCTCCGTATGATCCCTGACCAGAGATCGAACCCACAACCTAGGTATGTGCCCTTGTTATTGGTGGGGGTGTGTGCTCTGTGTCCTTACCTGCTACTGATGGAAGTGGGCTTCTTGGGGTGCCACAGGAACAAGAATTTTGAGGCCCCATGGGAGGAGGAGGTGTTATGGAAAGCTATTGACGAGAGGTAACATGACGGGAGATCCTCTCAGGGTCCCATCTCCCTACGTCCCGCCATGAAAGAAGTCCCATTTTGTCTCAGCAGAGCTAGGATTAAAGGCAGTGCCCAGAGTTTCTGCTCCATATCAAAGCACAGTCAAGTCCAGCATCAGGCTAAGGTAGCTTGTGTTCCCACCTGCAGTCCACTGTGTGTAGGGTTTGCATGGCCATGGGCCATACAGCTTCTAGGAGCTCATGGTGGGCTAGAGGAAATCCACAGACCAAGCAAGTGCAAGGAAGCAGGAGCCAAGCAAGAGGAAAAAGAGAGAATTCCTTTGCCTGTGGATTATGTATTTCCAAATGGTTGCAGGCTTGCACTGGGGTCCACCCTCTTGATCTTTGTTCCCAGGTTAGACTGACAGGCAAGCACCTTCCCTATGTGACGCTGACCTCACTGCCATGTGCCCATCTTCTCCTTTCCCCTCAGTGATTTGCAGGGAATGGACTGGTGGTTTCCTGGGGAGTGTGAAGTTGCAGCTTCCTGGTGAAGCTGACCATCGGACCATGCTTATAATATCTGGCCTCCCCTTTGCTTTCTTCCTATTATTAATTTTAATAACTTGCTAGTTACAACAGTAACACCCTGACCGGGTATTGAAC